CAAAACAGCAGCACTTAATGGCACGTCATGATCTTCCCAACCGGCCGGATAAACTCCCTCCGCGTTGCCAAACAGTAGCTTCCAAGGAATCCGTCGTATGCAGATCTACTGTATAAAATAAACCATAAATTCAAACAGCTGCAAGGGTGACTTACAAGGACAGACGCGAAACAGCCCGCTGCATACCTTTAAACAGCGAAGTCAGGTAACCGGCAGAACACCTTGCCAGCGTTAGATCCCCAGCCAACCACTGCCACTTTTATAGGGTGCTACCTTGAAAGCCAATGATCGGCCCGCAAATTTAAAGGCACAGCGATCCAAAATGCCATTCTGCGACAATCTACCCCCCCCCTTTTTTACATCGTCGACCCGACGATGGAACAATACAAAATCTAACTCCAAGGTCTAAACAGAGCAGAAACTGCATTAGACACAGGACCCAGAGAGCTTACAGTCCCTTGTGCCATCACCCCTGCAGGCCTAGGAAGGTGGTAAACGTTAGAGTGTTGGCCTGCAGTTACTCGGGTCGTCCTTCGCACTTCCTGGGAGTCAGGATGACTCATTACTGGGACCACTCTGGAAATAAGTGGCTGACTCACTACTGATGGAGGAACCACTGAGGGGCCCAAAACTTCAGCAGGCCGCAAAGGAGACCCCTGAGTAGCGCATGTCATCGCCACTGGCCTAGCCAATGAAGAACTAGACACCTCCCCAGGGCCTTCCTGCCTCAACACCACCAGGTCCTCATCACCCGAGGATTCATCTGATGCAAAAGTTGACTCCATAGGCAAAGGGTTACTAGGGCAGACACCGGAGACATTTACTATGGCCTTCAACAAGGTTCGATGGACGTGCCTGACCTGGGTCTGATCATCCACAGGTGCGATGGCATAAACTGCTCCACCAGCTTTAGGTGCTTTTAGAACTCGATACATCACAGAACTCCACCAATCTTGAATTTTATGACGCCCTCTGGTACTGTAATCACAGAGGAGTACTAAATGGCCTTCACTTAGTGGGCGGTCTCGAACATGCTGGTCATGGTTCTTCTTCCAACGCTCAGCTGCCATCTTAAACCTTCCCCTTGCCCCTTCAAAGGCCAACTGTAGTCGAGTCTGATGTTCTTCAATCCACTCATGGACATATCCACTCACAGGTTCCGCCACTCTACCTAGAAGGAAATCCACTGGCAGTCTAGGCTCCTGACCGAACATGAGAAAAAGGGGATTCCCCAGTCGCCTGATGGGGAGTAGTGTTATAACAATAAAGCACCTGTGGCAGACAGGAATCCCAATCTCTCTTCCGGGACACAGGCAGAGTACGCAACAAGTTGTGGAGAGTCCTATTGAAGCGTTCACACTGGCCATTGCCCGCTGGATGGTATGGAGTGGTATGAGATTTCTCGATCCCATAGAGACCACAAAGCTGCTGGATGAGGGAGCTCTCAAAGTTACGGCCTTGGTCTGAATGTATCCGAGCAGGAACACCAAACTTTGAAAACCATTCAGCCACTAGAACTTGGGCCACAGTGGAGGCGCGTTGATCACGAGTGGGGACAGCCAGAGTGTACTTGCTAAAGACATCAGTCATGACCAAAACATTTTCAAGTCCATTCTGGGCAGGTTCCAACACGGTATAGTCCACTGCTAAAACCTCATTGGGCTGAGAAGCCAACAAATGCCCCATAAAAGTACGAGCTGCTGGATGTGTATCCTTAGCCATTTGGCACCTCTCACACTGCTGACACCACTGGGCTACATCGGAGGACATACCTGGCCAATAGCACCGCTGGCACAACAACTCCAATGTTCTTTCCACGCCCTCGTGGCCATGGTCTTCATATACCTGAGTCAACACCTTGTTCTTTAAGGTACCGGGCAACACCAACTGAAATGTAGCTTCAGCACCATCAGGGCGGAAAACCTGATGGTACAGGAGCCCGTTCTTTTTGACCAGGCGATCCCATTGTCGGAGCAAAGCCAATGCTGGCCTTGAGAGTCGTTTCCGTTCCTCTACATCAGGATGTTTGTTGCAAGTCCAAAATGGCAAGATTTCCTGAATAACTGGGTCAGCCTGCTGGAGAACACACAAATCAGGGGTAGAGCAAGGAAAAACTGCAACAGCAGCTTGGGTTACCTCAGCCTTCCCACATGGCAAGGCTTGCTGCAAGAAATCAGGGAGTGAACTGCCAGGAACCATTGCGTCCACTTCTAGTCGGCCTAGTGGGTATTGGCGAGACAATGCATCCGCATTCTTATTGCTTCTCCCTGACCGATACTTGATGTCAAAATCGAAGGATGCAAGTTGCACTGCCCACCGATGCTCAGTAGCACCCAACTTAGCAGATGACAATTGACTGAGTGGGTTGTTATCAGTGTAAACAATACACTTATAGCCTACCAGGTACTCCCTGAATTTCTCTGTCATCACCCGCTTAAGTGCCAGAAATTCTAATTTCATAGAGCTGTAATTGGACATATTGCGCTCTGATGGTCTCAAACCTTGGCTAGCATAGGCAATTGGCCTCACCTGGCCTCCTTGCTCCTGGGATAGCACTGCCCCCAAGCCAGCATGGCTTGCATCCACCTCCAGGATAAATGGTAAAGAAAAATCAGCGTAGGCAAGCACCGGTGATGTAGTAAGCTTGAGCTTCAGCTCCTCAAAACTCCCATGGCACTCGTCGGTCCAGTTGCCAATCACACCCTGCATAGCCCCCTTAAGCTTCTTGCCTCCCAGCTCTGCCACCAACCGGTGCAAAGGGGCTTCCAACTTGGCAAACTCCTCCACAAACCGACGATAGTAACTAGCGAAGCCCAAAAAGGACCTCAGCTCCGTGACAGTAGTAGGACGCTGCCAGTTAGTTACCACCTCGATCTTACTAGGATCAGTAGAGATGCCCTTGTCCGAGATGACATGTCCCAGGTACTGCACCTTCTGTTGGAAGAATGAACATTTGGAGAGCTTCACCTTCAAACCCTCTTGTTGAAGCCGCCCCAACACCACCTCCAACCTCTGCAGATGTTGCTCCACCGTGGATGAGAAGACTACAATATCTTCCAAATACAATAACAGCGACTGACATTGCTGGTCACCAAATATCCTTTGCATCAGTCGCTGGAAGGTGTCTGGGGCATTACAAAGCCCAAAGGGCATCTGGTTCCACTCAAATAGCCCAAAGGGGGTACAGAATGCCGTCTTGGGTCTCTCTTCTTCAGCGACTGGGACCTTGTTGTAACCACTCGCTAAGTCCAGAGTCGAGAACCAACAAGCACCAGTCAGTGCATCCAGGGATTCCTCAATCAGTGGCAGAGGAAATGCATCCTTCCTCGTCTTGCTATTTAGCTGGCGGTAGTCTACGCACATGCGCAGGCTACCGTCCTTTTTAACAAGAACAATGGGGGAAGCATAGGGACTGCAGCTCTCGCGGATCACCTGTGTCTCCAACAATTGATTAATATGTTCTTTTACCACCTCGTACTCAGAGGGGGGTATATGCCTATAGTGTTGCCTAACGGGTACATCATCCAAGAGGGGAATATCATGGGCCAGCAAGTTGGTACAGCCCACCTCCCCATCCTGAGCTGAAAAGACCGAAATATACCATCTAAGGAGGGACCTCACCTGGACCTGCTGTTCAATGGACAATTACGAGAGATCCAAGGCCTCTACCTGGTCCAACATGGCGGGGGCAACTGATAGAGATGCTATATCTGCAATATAAGGCACTTCAGCAACACCAGCAGGTAAACTGACCACATGAACACTATTCAAAGTACCCACAATGGTACGGGGATACAACACCACATCAGTAAAACCTACATTGATTACTGGTATATAAGCAGTGCCTCCTACCACTCGGACTAATGCAGGAAAAGCCAGCAACCCACCAGGTAGGCCAGAGAAGGTAGGTTCAAACAACACCGTAGCACTCGCATACTGCCCTGAACAGGTAGCTGCTACCAACTTCATCGTACCACCTGGGACACGACATACCTTACGGCCCCGAACCCTGACTTTACCTGAAGTGTCACTGGAGAACTGCACCCTAGAACGATGGCATTGTTGCAACGCCTGCATGACACTAACCACTAACACCCCGCACTGTGGCATTAACTTACCGCAAAGTTCAACCTCCAACTCTAGATAGCCAATATAAGGAATGGCTAACCTGTTGGCCGCCCGAAGTTGTAGCCAGTGACAAGCCTGAAGGCGTTCTTGACCCCACTGCCCAAAGTGCTGAATGAAACAGCTTTCTGTAATGGTAGACACCATAGACCCAGTGTCTATTAAGCAAGGTACTATAACCCCACCCAACACCACATCTAAATGTGAACATGGGGACATCAATTTGGAGGCAGCGCCTAAACTGCTAGGAACCAACCCAGAGCCAGTCAAAGCCCCACCCGAACCGTGGCTCTGCAATCCGGGGGGCACTAGTTTCCCGATGCTGGCGCTGGGTGAGTCTCTGCCCCAGAGTATGGGGGTACAGATGAAGACTGGAACCGAGGAGCATGAACCCCATCGCACTCCCTAGCAGTATACCCAGGCCGCTGGCAGCGTCTACAAATGATGGAACTGCTGTGAGGTGAACGACTACGCTGACGAGAGCTCTGTAAGAGCTCAACACTCCGGGTCAGCAGGCGCAATTGCTCTTGCTGGCCCTTTAATAGTTCCCTCAGCTCACGCATCTCAGAACCCTGGACGGAATCACCCACACCCCGAGGATTGCCCTGTACTCCATACTGGATACCGCAAGCTGATGGAACAGACTGACTTCGGCCATGACCACTCGGCAAACCTTCTCGCTCCCACCTAATCGCTTCACCAGTTAGCCACCAAACCAACTATTGCTTTGCCTCTTACAATTTAAAAAAAAAAGAATGTATACACATAAAATGGAGCACACATCTCTGCTAACCGTAAGATCCTGCCGACTGCGCCAAGTTGTCGCGACGCTAAGCTGCGAGTTTGGGGGAACCACCCCTTAAGACACCGACTACGCCACCCTGGGAACTACACCCAGGGAAATAGTTCCTAACACTCCACAAAGAAAAGCACTCAGGTCCATTATACACGGCAGCAAGAGACGTGACTCCACTTACAATCTTTTATTAACAATCACAATAAAACACCATCCACAATACAAAGTAGAACCTCCGGGCTGCCGCACACAGGACAGGAGGTAAAGCAGTCAGGCAGAAGATGGCATCCTAGAACAAAAGCACTACAACTCCCATGCACACATACCAGGGCCCTGCTGCCACACACACACCACCACATCAAAGCTCCCTTCCTCCCTAGTGGCGTACCAACCCAGAACAGTCTTTAAAACACACAAAACTAAAAAACCCTAGCTCTAAACAGGTAAACCTGGAAGAACCAGTTAAAACAGAGAATTAGAATCCACATTCACAATACAACCAAAGAGGCAAAGCAGCAGCAGCAACTGTAGGGCAGGCAATCCAGACCACAGCTGTAATAGAGCAGGCAAAACAGCAGCACTTAATGGCACGTCATGATCTTCCCAACCGGCCGGATAAACTCCCTCCGCGTTGCCAAACAGTAGCTTCCAAGGAATCCGTCGTATGCAGATCTATAAAATAAACCATAAATTCAAACAGCCGCAAGGGTGACTTACAAGGACAGACGCGAAACAGCCCGCTGCATACCTTTAAACAGCGAAGTCAGGTAACCGGAAGAACACCTTGCCAGCGTTACATGTAGATCCCCAGCCAACCACTGCCACTTTTATAGGGTGCTACCTTGAAAGCCAATGATCGCCCCGCAAATTTAAAGGCACAGCGATCCAAAATAGCCATTCTGCCACAATGGCATCTAAAAGTGGATTTTCCTCATATGGATGGTGATCATAAACTTTCCATTGCCATGCAGAAGAGTTCCTCGATTGAGGAACGGAGAATATGGAGGTATGAATTCCATTGTCATATGTGGATGAGGCACAAACCAGTCCCTCATTGCAGCTGTGTGATGGAACACAACATTGTCCCATATAATAGCATAATGCTGAGCTGTGACAGTAGCATCTTCTTGGGATGTATGCTACAGGACCAGTCTCTGATATAGCTGCGCACATTGTTATGTTTGCACCTCTTTGCCCTGGTATCTGCACTGTTGCTCTGTGCCCAATGACATTCCCCCCACGCCTCCTGGTCTCGGCGAGATCGAAGTCAGCTTCATCCACATAAATGAATGTAGGAGGCTCAGAACTGGACTCCAGCTCCATGATTCTCTGAAGTCACAACAAGCATTCCAAAGGGAAACACCTGAAAGCATGTGAAATGAAACAGGTCCTGCACAGAGTTATAGTAAACATATAGTGAACAACTCATTACCTGTACATAGCGATATCTCAGCTCCTTCACCTGATCACGGTTCCTTTCAAATGACACTCTGTAGATTTGTTTCATGCTTAGGTTGGAGCATTTCAAGGCCCTATCAATAGTTGATAAACTGACTGACTGAATGTTGTGGAATGTTGTGTGGTCTGCAATTACAGCAGCCTGTATTTCCCGTAAATGAAGTTTATTGTTCCTCAGCACCATCTGAACAAGTGCTGCTTTTTGCTCTGCAGTGAAAATCTTGCCACACCCACCAGCTGCAGGTCTTCTTTCAATTCTATAAAGGCAAATATGTAATCTAGAATACTGCAGTAAATATAGATCTGATAACTGCATGAACTGTGGCCTATATTTGAATTACAGCAAGTAAATGTCACATACCTCTTTTCCTGCTTGAATGTTCCAATAATTGATGACATGACTGTGTGGCTGTACCCTTAGACCAACAATCATTTTCACACTTGTCTCAATACCATGTCCACTTTTTCACTTACAATCATTTTAAATTATTTTCTAATTACAATTAACTTCAAAAGCTAACCAAATTGAAATCACTTTAGATGGAAATATGCTAAATTTCTGCAAGTGAGACTACTGTAAAAGCACTGTGAATTACTATCAGTCAGATTATTTTGATTTTAGTTGAAAGTTTCAGATAAACTGAAATAAATTCAGTTTATTTGCAGTCTGTACAAAAGTGGTGCTGTTTACTGTATGTTTCGTATTTGCACATGTGAAATTCATACAATTTCAGTGGATGGATGAGCTTGTAGTGGTAGTATAGAAAAAACTTGACTGTCATTTCAGCTAAAGTTTGTGTCTAATTACCACATATACAAAAGGAGCCATCTTTGATTTGCCCTTTGCGTTCCTTACCTAGAAGTGTGAATAAAATGGATGTAGCAAGAGGCAGAGGAAGGAGACGTCGATGCGGAAGAGCTAGAACATTTGTTTCTGATGAAATCAGAGCCACTATAATTGACCATGTGTGAAACCATGGTCTGTCCCTCAGGGATGCAGGTCTAAGGGTACAACCAAACTTACCAAGATCCAAAGTGGCATCAACAGAAACGATTTTCAGGCAAACCAACAGGTAGGCTACTATACAGTATTTTGACTGATTGATGTGTGTATATATATGCACAGTACTATAATACAGTTTTTTTCAGTTGCGAAGGCACATTCTGCAATACTGAGATCACTTTCTCAAAACTCTACACATAGTCTGCAAAACCAAGACACATTGGCCAAACAGTTAATCCCTCCACCAAAATGCACTACAGCATTCTATGACTGCACTGGAGTGCTGGAATGCCACATTATCCCACACCACAACAAATACTGTACCAAAACATTTGTGCTCACTCGCTCTCTTTCATCCTTTGGTCATTTTTACAATCTATTTCATAAAAGCCTTGATAGTAATCTTGTAAATTGTACTAATTTAGTTTTGAATATATGTTTAATCGTTTTGCTAACAGTATGTAAGGATTGCAAAATGCCCTCTAAAAATATTACAGTTTTTCTTGATTGCTTTCACCTGCTTAAAGGAACTGGCATCCACTCAGTTTTCATCATCACTGTCTCAGCAGAGCAGAAGACACCTCTTGCAAATGTGTTAACCCTTTCTCGTTGAATTGACACATTCCCCCCTCCCCCTTTGCAAAACAGTTAACATGGATGTCATTCAAGCAGTCCAAACTCTATTGTTTTAGGTATGGTAACCAAAGAGAAATCTTCTGTTCCTAACTATTAGAAACTACCTAGATCAGTATGAAATCACTCCTTCACACAAGTCTTCAATTAGCAATCAGTCTGCAGGTCTTAAAAGGTGCCACGTCTGTGTTGTTCTTTACCAGCATGGATGGAGGAGGTCTAAGGCAGATGAGAGTGAGAGTGAGAGTGAGAGGGGTCCAAGGAAGAGGAGTACGTGTGCGAGGTGGAGGTGTAGTTGGAAGGGCTCAAGTTTCAGTAGAAATTCGGGCAACTGTTATTGATCACGTTAACAATCATGGCCTTTCATGTAGAGAGGCTGGACGAAGAGTACAACCTGTTCTAAACAGAAACACTGTTGCATCCATTGTCAGAATTTTTCAACAGGAAAACAGGTAATCTTGCTGTACAGTATATACAGAAATATATTCAGTGATATACATTATGTAATTGTTTCCTCATTCCCATTACATGTATTATTTATGGAATCCAAAGGCTGCCATTTTCTGGTGGTAGAGGGAAAATAAATTTTTAGTGCTGAACAGGAGGCAGCCGTTGTGAACATGGTCATGGCAAACAATGCCATAAGGCTGCGTGAAATCAGGGCAGCAGTGCTCGCAGATCATGGCATATTTAGGGTGAAATCAGGGCGGCAGTGCTCGCAGATCAGGGCATATCTAGGGTGAAATCAAGGTGGCAGTGCTCGCAGATCAGGGCATATTTAGGGTGAAATCAGGGTGGCAGTGCTCGCAGATCAGGGCATATTCAGGGTGAAATCAGGGTGGCAGTGCTCGCAGATCAGGGCATATTCAGGGTGAAATCAGGGTGGCAGTGCTCGCAGATATGGGCATATCTAGGGTGAAATCAAGGCGGCAGTGCTCAGAGATCAGGGCATATTCAGGGTGAAATCAGGGTGGCAGTGCTCGCAGATCAGGGCATATTCAGGGTGAAATCAGGGTGGCAGTGCTCGCAGATCAGGGCATATCTAGGGTGAAATCAAGGCGGCAGTGCTCAGAGATCAGGGCATATTGAGGAAAATCAACAATGTGAGCCTGACCACCATTGACCGCGTCCTAAGAAGCATCCATATGGCCATGAAGCAGCTCTACAGAGTTCCATTTCAAAGGAACTCTGATGTTGTGAAGGCCAGATGCCAATATGTGGAGGTAAGGAAACATTACTATACTGTAATACCTTGTCATATCATGCAGTTAGTCAACTGGAGTCACTTTTCATTGTAATTTTGCCTTTTTTTACTTAGAGAATAATGGAGCTTGAAGCTGAGGTAGCACATCCTGTCTTCATTTATGCTGATGAAGCCGGCTTCAATCTCTGTAAATTGAGGAGACGTGGAAGGAACCTCATTGGGTACAGGGCCACTTGCAGCTCCAGGACAGCGGGGCGCCAACATAACCATGCGTGCTGCCATCTCCAATGATGGTGTCCTAATTTGACACAATTTTGACAAATTTGACACAGCCTATGTAGAAAGATAACAAATGGCAATGGCATGAAAGCTATGTAATAGGCTACAATGACAAGCAATGGTGCACTGATTCGTACTTAGTGCTGTATTTTGTTGTCCATTGTGTAATGATTGATTGGAGGGGCTTATACACTTGTTTGTAAGTTGTGTTGTTTGAAAGCAAAATTTGCTTTTGTTTCATATTTTAAATGTTTTGGCAAGGTTTTGTTTGCCCTTCGCAAACAAAATGTGCCCCTTTGACCATGAGTGCCACTGTTTAGGCCTGTGTGTTAACTTTTGAAAATGTGGAGTTTGAGTTGACTGCTGCATGAAAGCAATCAAGAAAAACTAAATTTTGTAACTGATAGTGGTGGATTTTGAGCGAGGAAAGTATTTATGAATTTTGAGGCATTTAGTCATTGAATGCATTTTGTATCAAAGCAATGAGAAAGGATTCAGTTTAGCCCACATGCACTGTTATGGCGACTGTGTAGAGTTTTCAGAGAGTTACTTCAGTATTGCAGGATATGCCTTAGTAATTGAGAAAAACTGTAATATGATTTGACATGGTGTTTTGGCTCACTACTGCAGAACACAGCGTTTACCTCCCACAGGGGGAAGGTTAAGGAACTCAGGTATAAATACGTCCATGTAAGTCATGGTATTTATGGTGATTTTGAACAGTGCAACACACACAGGCATTTTCTTTCATTTGTTGTGCACAATATAGTATGCTATGCCATTTGTGTCTTGTGTTACCTTGGGTATTTTCTAATTTACTGTAGAGAGTCATGGAGCTTGAAGCCAGTGAAAATGAACATAGTTATCTTGTGGCAAAAAGGCACCGCAGTGGAAGAAATGTGATTGGGAAGAGGGCAAAGGCAGATGTTCCAGGCCAGAGGGGGGATAACATCACCATGTGTGCAGCAATATCTAATGATGGACTGCAGCTGCAGAAGGCCGTCATTGGCCCATACAATACAGCAGACCTTATTGTTTTTCTTGATGAACTGTATGAAAAACTTTCAGCAGCGAGAGAGAGAAAGAGGCAGAATTTTCCAGTATTTGTGATTGTGTGGGACAATGTGACCTTTCATCATTCCCGCCAAGTCCGTGGTTTACTGCCCATCCCAGGATGATGTCATTATTCTTGCCACCATGCTCTCCATTCCTGAACCCCATTGAAGAATTTCTTTCTGCATGGAGATGGAAGGTACAGTATATGACCATCGGCCACATGATCAGATGTCACTTTTAGATGCAATGGCTGCTAGGTGTATGGACATAGGATGACCGCGCACCGGTCGAGCGAGCAGGGAGCGCGGAATCAAGGTCAGGCAGACCGAAGTCCAACAAACAGGAGATTTATTGTGGGCAAATACAAACACACGGTAAAGACACGGTAGGGTGACAAGGAAGGGCGTGCAGGACTGGAGGGTGATGAGGTGACTGCAGGACTGGGATGGAAACTAGGACCAGAGGGTGACGAGGAGGAGACTGGGTCAGGGCGGTTGGACCGCCTAGTGTGTCCCCGTCTCCTCTTTCGGGAGACAGAGAACCGGCCTGGCCCTCTGCTGGACCTCCACCAGCGCCATGCAAGGTCCGCTTGGGTGGAGGTAGGAGTTAAGCCAAGAGGCATGGTCCCCTGTGGGCCGGGCGCGGGCGGAGCAGAAGCAACGGCCCCCTGTGGGCCGGGCGCAGCGGAAGCGATGGCCCCCTGTGGGCCGGGAGCGGGCGGCCAGGGCGGAGCAGAAGCAGAGGCCGCTGCCCCCTATGGGCCGGGAGCGGGCAGCCAGGGCGGAGCAGAAGCAGAGGCCGCTGCCCCCTGTGGGCAGGGCTCGGGCAGAGCGGCGGAGGTGGCGGCTTCCCCTGGGCAGGGCGGCGGAGGCTG